AAAAAWWWTKKWAAMMAARKTWWAATGGCAGTTAATGTTTGGGCTGCGGSAAGCCTAATACCCTAGTYCTTCTCAGACTTTCCCATTGGGRAGGGTTTGGTTATGAGAATGTAAAKTTGCAYWCCAAAATAAATCACTRAAAATACAAGCAACTGCATGTACCWTCTTCRGTCACTCATTGTGGACATTTTTTCAGTGTGATAAAACAATTCCTAGCTTTGTTTAGTRTTGCAATAATTTGACAAATATTATCAGCACCAAAATATCTTAGCACTTTTTATTATATGGAGGAACCACTTTGCATGGCATTCTCTTCGTGTCTTTCTCTRTCAAGAGTAGCAATTCTTGTTCTGCATAAAACACACTTCAGAGGAAGATTAAAATCAGTTACAGCTACTTGTAAGGTCCTCACAAAACAGGTTCTGCATAACACTTTGTGTTTGCAAGGGAATGTCTGTATGACAGCTTTAGAACTATTGCAAACAATGCACTGAAAAAAGAAAACAATGTCAATGTCAGTTTGGAATTATTTTTGTATGCTGAATCTCTATAAAGTGCTGAATGCAAATGAGATATAGCTGAGGGCATGGTTTTCCTTAAATGCCAAACATAATTTGTTGAATGGAATTCAGTTCAAATTTCATTTTATACTCATTGAGCTTTTGGGAGCTCTAAAGGCAAAATATTTAGTGCCAAATAGAAGTTCAAGGTAAAATCTTTGTGTTAAAAATACTGCATGCACATACCAGCTATGACTTTTRGTTAGTTACTAATAAAAGTTGCAATTTAATGCTATAGAATATGGCAAAAGCTTTGCTCCTACTGCAAATGACCTTAAATTAAAACAATCACTTTTTCAAGCTTAACAATGGAAAATTGAGACATAAATAATACTCACCTCTTCATCTTCATTCTCTGCAACCTCAGGMACAATCTGCTCCAGAGAAACAAGCAGTCTTTCCTGTATCATGAAATAAATAAAAGAGAAGATGGTACATGATACTTGGCTATAAATCCCTCGAGTATACCCTGAACATTGTCAGGGGGGGGGGGGCACCAAATTTGGGACATTCTCCACAACGGTGAAATAAATGGCTAACATAATAGTGCTAAATTATGCAGAGGGGTTTTTTTGGTTTCCGTTTGTRTAATCAACACTATTCAATCGCAAGTAATAAGCTTATGTTGCTAACACTCCATCATGAGCAGGAATGGGTGAGGATAGAGTTGCGGAAGTAAAAAAGAGAAATAAAAGTGCATACCTTGCATGAAATACTAATGGTTACTTTAGTTGATTCAAATTTCGGTTTTAATTGTTTAACTTAATTTTTAAAACAGCAAATTGAAATCTTACCAGTTTTCCACGGAGCTCATTCAATTTCTCTCCTCTTCGTTCGCTTGCTTCTGCATTAGCCTGCTGGTTTGTATTCTTTAAATAGCGGTAAATAGCATATGCTGCAGGCACTGCTAGGGAAAGTCCAACGCCGACGATGACGGTTGTGGAGTGACGCTTTATGAAAGAAGAAAATCCAGACAACATGGCCGACTACGATCCTAACGACAGCAATCAGTCTGGAAACTGTAAGCTTAATCCATGTAAAGTCAAACTACAAATACATGGTTGCTAAAAGAGTCTCCAAGATCAAATCCAAATGCTTATTTTCCACTTAATATTTACACAAATACAAATAGGCAGGACAATTTACAGTCGCTGTTTTTCAAGCAATTGTACCCGGCCCAGTGCTATGTAGGCAGAACCACAGGTAATCCAACCATGCGTTTGTCACTTTCTGAGAATCTGTTTTTAGTGATGTAGTGATGACTTTAATGTTTATATCCATCCTGATTTTAAATATTTACTGCCCAATTTGCGTTGAGCAACACAAAAATTGTAGTTATTTTGAATTGAAACTAAAAGTAAAACAAAATGTCGATTAAGCTGAGTCGCAAAGGGACAAAAGCGCCAGTGAGTGGATAAGCCCAGTCTTGCTTATTCAGCATATTTTTGTACTCGAGCCACAGAGAAGACCGAGAGAAGAATAAGGTAAGCAAAAAGTTTTATAAATTTGACCTCATTGTTCAAAGAAAAGGTTTAACTATATCCCTAACTAGCATGACATATTCATGATAGACAGTGGGCCTTTTTTTGTGCGAAAACCATGACATAAAACTGATCAGGGGCGACAGAGGGGTTTTGGCTCGTTCCAAGACTTTTTCACAAACGGATACGGATATAACGTTTCGACTTCTGTTTTTAAGAAATGCTGAAAATTGACTTGGCGGTGGCGCACGAACCACGGCTGGCTCAATTTCATCATTTTTGAGGTTTTATCGCGATTAAAAAAAGAGTCGCCATGGCTGTAAAATTTACCGGTTATAATAAATTTTGATTTATTAAAACTCTTTTTTGTAATTGCGATGATCTTGTGCGATTATATCCAACCGAAAATAATGACATCCCGTCGTCTACCTGGCAGTTCTCGATAGTGCATGTCAGTAACTTAGCCCGTTTTTATAGCAGTGGRTTTACAGCTAAAATCTCTGATTTACTAAATATTTCACGTCTATACCAGCTTTACTCCTGATAAATCGTTTCGCTTTCGGCCATCGTCGCCAAATGAAGAATGTGTGTACTTCTGCTTATTACTAAAGTTTGTATAAATGACAGCAGTCACCTTTTCTTAGAATTTTGGAATTGTCGCATGAGACGTCTCACGAAAAAACAAAACAAGCAAAAAACAGGAAATGGGGGTTCCCCAAATCTGTTTACAAAAGGGGTTTCCACATCGCGGTCAAGTCTCGGCCAACATCCTAACCTGGTAGTCCAGTCAATCTAGGGAAGGTACGTTTATAATTATTGGGGGGGGGGAGGGCTGATGTGGGAGAGGGGAGGGTCATATATCATTTTTGCAAGCTTTAGGGGAGGGTCAATTCTTCGCTCGAGGGCTTATCTAGGGGAGGGCCGTCCTAGTTTTTAGGTTTAGCTAAGAAAAAATGTTATACCATCRAGTCGATTTTTCATAGACCGATATACTGTATAGGGTTCCAGTGAGTACGCACGGCATTCCCTTCACAATGAGTAATTCCGTGCTTCTTGCGTCTATGTACCAGCAAAAGAAAACAATACACTGAGTAAAAATAAACTAGCAAATTATTTGTTGAAACGTCACAATTTGCCCTCAAACATTTATCTTCGAAATTGGTAATAATAGAAAACCAATCATATGACAAAAACCTCAGGAGAGCGAAATCAAAGCACAGGGATTCCGACCAATTTTACCATACCTTCTACTTCACATTTGCATGTCCGGGAAATCGATTTGCGGGAATTGKTGGGAATAATAGCGTGCGTTTTCTGCAAACTTTGGTATAGCCTGAGACTAGTGTGTGTGGGGTGGGGGAGGGTCATYGGTATTTTTGGAACTTTTGAGGGGAGGGTCAAAAGTTTAGTTTTAGAATTACTGCATGGGGAGGGTCACACATTCTTATGGAAAAATTCCACTGAAAACAACAGCCCCCCCCCCCCCCCCAATAATAATCGTACCTTCCCCTGGCGAAAAAAGTGGGTCAACCTAGAACAAATAGATTGCAACAGAAGGTATTCCAACGGATTTCTGATCAGAATGTTATGGTGAACAACACATCAAAAATCATATTTAATCCGAGCGGTGCAAGTGTCTCAAATTAAAATGTTTCTCCGGCCACTCTTTGGTCACACATCAAAACGAGGCTGACGCGATAGAAAGAAGTTTCTCGAGCTAAATTATAATTCGCAAGCACAAATACTTAGTCAGAATTGTTAGCTTCAGAAGGTATGAAGAAGGTATAAAAATATAATGTAAAATTAAAATATTTATATTATCATTGATGTTGAAATGAGATCAGTAAAGTGAACTCTACTATTGTTTGTAATTACATCCCAAAAACATGCAAAAAGAGTTGAACACAATTAAAGAATGATTTCCAACATTGTAATTAATAAGAATTATCTGTGTAAAACATGTGAAATTGCAAAGCTCGCATGCAAGTGTACGCAAGATTGTCGTGGATTTCATTGCGGCGAAACTATCTAACAATTTATCTTTATCGGTTTCTACTGAGCTGTGTTAACCATGCAGCCTTGCAGCCTTCTAGTTTCTACGTCAAGTACTTATAGGTGAGTCAACTCCTGATGGATGGGCGCTACCTCATCGAGTACTTTAGCCGAATATACTACATGTTCTTATCAAGATATCCTCGCTGCCAGAGTTAGTACAGCTAGCAACCATTGTGTTTGACGGATAAGACGATGTCTCAACCAAATACAGCACACATAAACGCTGCGCTGACGGGAAAGTTTCTCTCACAGTGAGCTTAACAGAGGAGATGCATGAATTTCAAACCATGAAAAGAGAAGAATTTTAATTGTCAAACGCTAAGAACAAGCAGCAATTTATCATGATYCATCGGTATGCTTAGCGAAGCCTTGCGTGAATGCAATTGTTTGGTTTATCAAGCTTTCAGGAGACGCTGATGTCCTCATCGTGAAAACGGAAGATRAATGCGCGCGAATAACAACAACCGTCCTCGTTGATGATGACCTTCTTAGATGTAATATTTTCTTCAAGCCCGGCCAGAGCCAAATAGTAATGCAACGCCTCGTATAAGACGAYACCCCCTTGACTTCAAACACTATCTTTATGGATGACCGATATTTGTTTATTAAGAATGTTTGCGCAATTATCAGTTCAAAAGGCGCTATTTTAGTGCAATCTCTGGTTTTAGCCTCGTTTTCATGTTAAAGGAGAGAGAAGGCTGCACAAAATGGCAATTTTGAAGGTGTTGCACCACTCGGATTAAATATGWTTTTTGATATGTTGTTCATCTGATGACATCTACTAAAAAGATTCGTGATGAAAGAGTTTCGGTTGCAATTTGTTCTAGGTCAAACCGTAGTTTGACTGGACTATGGGTACAGCAGAAATTAGAAAAAATCGCGCGCTTTAAAGGTTGTAAATTTGATGCAAATGATTTACAGAATTTTGGACACTTTACATCAYATTTACAYCAAATTTACAACCTGTAAAGCGCGCGGTTTTTTCCAGTGCTAGTACATGCGAACATGTGTACTTCTGTTTCCAGAGGTCGTAATTTACCCTTTCTAGTCGTATTTTATTTTTAGAGTCAAACCACTAAGCAAAATCAACTATGCACTCATAAACACAATACTAAGATGCTCTCCGTATTAAARTATTCTTGTTTTTAGGTTATGCAATGGCATCAGCTGCTATCTTACGAAGTGAAAACCTTCAAACCCTGATTGTTACGCAAATTTCTCCAGATGCTGTGAAAAACAGAAACAAAAAATCAGTGATAATCAGAGAAACTTGTTATGCAGTATGTGCTCTTTTRAACAGTGTGCAAGGTGGGAATATCAAACTGTCCTCTAACCAAACGTTAACTCCAAACCTACTAGACGAGCTTGTTCGGTCAATTGAGCAAAGTTTGATTGAATTCATTGGCTTGACAAATCTTCGTGCGCTTTGCCAAGTGAAAATTACTGACAGTAGGAAGGAAATCACCTTTACTGTAAAACCAAGTGGTCGAYTGTTTACAGTTAGTTACAATTTGGCATTGCCTACTAATTTTCTCGTGAGGGAAGTACTTAAGTCTGAACCATTGGTGAACATTGCTCGTCTGTTAAAATGCGGTCCATTAATCAGTTCAAATCTACAAAACTTTGACAAAGTGTTTCAGAAAGACAACTTTTTGTTTAATTTGACGGAATCGGATACCGTGCAATTTAAGAAAGTRAAATCCGATAGAAATAAGAACAAATCAYTGGCAGATCGCATYATTGCCAACAAGGTAACTCACTACGTATCTGCGTTTGCAAACCACAGGGGTGGGCATGTGTATATTGGTATTGATGATGAAACGTACAAAGTATGTGGGCAAAATGTTGATGATGAAGAGAAACAGAGAATCGTAGAGAGAGTAGACTCTGCAATCAAGAATATGGTATGGCCAGAGGAGCATGGCGAACCTGAACGTGGAAATCACTGGGATATCTCGTTCATTCCTGTAGTGGGGGAGTCTAWGGAAGAGATTCCWGGACTGTTTGTTATAGTGATTTCAATAGCACACTGTCCCGGTGGAGTCTTTCTAACACACCCYGAGACCTATGTAATAGRTGATAATAAAGTAGCTAGGATGGAATTCGATCAGTGGAAAAAAAGAGTCTTACACGACGCACACATGAATGATATTGTAAAGTTTTGCCGAGAAAATGGTTGGCCCGAAACCAGGGGTACCAATACCCGATTAATAAGTGCAAGCCCTGACGTTGAAGATTCAGAGGGTACCCAACCTAATGTGAACGGCTCTGTGGAATATACAACTATTCCTACATCTATCGGACGAGTCGTTTCACGAAATACGAAGTCATCAATCATGTGTCTGAGGATAACAGATATATTGGAGAGATTCATACAAGACGGTAACTTTGATAAAGTTCAAAATTTAGCATCAAAGATTTGCAGCATCAAGAGCGAGACCTTTCGCAAAGCGGATGTTGAAGTTGCAACCCGTTTTATGCTTGCCCTCGGGGCTTATCGAAGGCGAAGTTTTACAGAGGCTTATCAGGAATTAAGTAAAGCAAGCGCTCTCATGGCTTCAACTGAGAACGCAGTGGAATTCGAGATACAAAAGATTCATTTACTAGCTTGTTTTTGTAGAGGGGAAGGTCATTATGACAAGAGCTATGAAGTAACYTCTGGTGGGCTTCAAAAACTTGAAAGCATCACCCCTGGGTGGCACTCRGCATGGATGCTAAACGATGCTGGTTATTTGTTCAGCATTTTAGCTGGAGAWGAACGAAATGAAGAAGTCCGTAAATCRCTTAAAAAACAAGCAATRGGGTTATACACCCAAGCTATCGAGCACGCAACGCAATTTGGAAAAGATACGAAAATGTCACATAAAGYCTTGACCGCAAAGTCAAATCTTTTGCACCGTTGTCATCTTCGACTTGCAATGTTGCTWCTTGGATGCGCCCCAATTGCCGAGAAAGACGACGATTTTAGAGAAGTCACTTGTGACGATCTGGATAACGCTGTTGTTCACATACTGTCTGTAGAAGAAAGTGTTATGAAAGGCGACTCCATTACAGAAGTGAATGACTGTTACTTGAGCCTTGCAAAATCAGACATCAATTATCGTAACTCACAGATTATTTCAGAACTAGGGGAAGAATACCACAAAAAAGCCGTAGAATGGGCTACAAAAGCACTATCCGTTGCAAAAMATCTCAAGTTTCCTGGAATACTGAAATACGCCCAAAGTCGCCTAGATGGTCGTCTATCAAAATTTCGGTGTAGAAGAGGTGTTGAGGACGAACTACTTGAAGATTTGGGAAACTGAAAGGAAGCAGATAATTGTTTTTTTTTTTGTCAACACATTACATTGAAGATTCCTATACTGACGTAAATATGCACGTCAGCGTAACTGATAAACAGGAAAAATAGCCCACATAAGACTAGACTTCCCATAAGTCGGACTCTCATTGGATTGAAAAAGAAGAGGAAGAACTAGAAAACCGAGCGTGAAGCGCGAGGAAAAAAAGGGAGCGTTTGGGGCTATAAGGGACTTGTCCCCAAGAGCGATGACACTGAAACACTTCTCCACATGAGGACACAGGCAACCCAAGCAAAGCATTTGATTCAAATGCTTTGCTTGGGTTGCCTGTGATGAGGATAGATAATTTACCAAACCTTAATTTACCAAATTCCTTGATAMCAAATTTTATTTCAATTATTAAATCTAATTGCAATTTACAGGGCAAACCGGATGACAAATTTCTAATAGTTTTTCTAAAACAACCCGACTTTCTTGTCTACTAAGCAAACCGTCCTATTTATTTTCCAAAAACAGTTTTTATATCGTTTAGATATTTCTTTGCATATGGCACAGCTGAAATGTTTCTGACAATTCATTAGTAAGAAAGGAATGATGGCCACTTGTGATATCTAGATTTCTTCATTATGTGAAGAATACATTTTCATCATTTTATTGTGCTATAAGAAAMTTCATATATATTTGGCTGTGTTTAGGGGCCTGCCAAGAGAGAGCAAGCTGCACYGTTTAAAACAATAAAACCTTCAATACAATTTACTCCACACAACTGCAATTTAATCTCCAGAATATAATCTGGAAAACGATCACCTTATCTGCAAGGGATGTTGAAAGTTATTTTCAAAAACGATAACCCTTGWGAAAAATGTTCTCCGATTCCTCATTTTTGGTCTCGGACCATCATTTTCCATTCATTTTCACCCGTCTCAGAGTCTAGAATTTTAAAAATCTCTCTGACCTATAGTGTTGAATTTAAAAACCTCCATCTTGCAATCTTGGAAAATCTCAGAAGGACCTAACCTCTTTGGCAGAAATTCTTGATTTAGAACGTTGTATTAGAGCGGATTTCGTATGAGTGGGACACCGTTACCGCACGGTTACCGCACAGTTACCGCACCTGCCCTGCAGAATTTTGGTGAACCAATGGGGCACTAGAATTTGGTTACAGTACGATTACGGTCACAGTACAGTACCGTCCGTTTCCCACTCATACGAAATCCGCTCTATTGCTACACAAGATAACGCGGACTAATCATCGGAAAATAGCGGGAAAGCAAAGTGATCWGCATTCAAAAGTGAAGACGCTGATGGACGGTCTGCTCTTTTTCTGAAGGAAAGAAAAGAATAAAATTAATCTAAAAATATATACATCCAAGATTGCCTTCCTATAGAAAAAGCATAGTGAGGGATACAAAGAACATCATCCATTAAGAACAGAATAACCTCAATAACTCGAAAAAATATGAATAWTTAAGTAATTATTCAAACTTCATTACTATGTATTTTTACAAAAGCAATATTGAACTTACCGAAAGCAATGATCTAGAAAATCAYGAGCCATACTTGAACATTGCTCAGGTACCTTCACATCACCATTGCTTATTTTATACATAACTTGGACAATCACAAGACCATCTCCTCTTARTGGCGGATCTCCTGTCAACATTTCAACTACTGTACAACCAAGGCTCCTAGAATATCAAAAAAATCAAATAATGATGATGGTTGATGATGATGATTGTTACTATAATTAGTTCATAGTATCAGATATAATTGATATCAGACCTAATTGCAGAAACGTTATCATAGAAAAAAAATTGTTAATTTTTGAAGTAAAAAGTAAAAAAAAAAAATGCAAATAGAACCACTGGATGCTTTTGTCTATTCATTTGATGTATTAATTCCTTTTTTACTAAACACAAATGTTTTTCTCTACGAGAATGCACTTGCAACTGCAAAACAATTTCATCATACTTGAATTCAAGCAATAAATGTTCTGTTTTAAAGCCATAGATAGTATTAAACCTGTGTGTTATTTTTTGACAGTTTCTTTTGTTCCAAGAACAACAACATGRTCAATGGTTTGTATTGATGTTAAACAATCCAAGTGAGTTACGTCAAAAAATATTAATGCTCATTAATACTAACCAAATGTCTGTGTTGGAAGAATATTTCTCTGAACAAAGGAGCTCTGGACTTGTCCAGAACACAGATGCCAACATCCCATTATGATTCGATACACAGTGCCCAGTACTGGTAGCAATTCCCTTAAACACAAACAATACTTGGTGTACATATTCAGTGTCTTTGAATAAAAAAAGGCTAACAGCAAGAAATGGTTCTATGCAAGATGACTTRAAAATCAATGCCTCATTTTATTGCAATCTCTACTCAAGAGATATTATCAAACCAAATGACAAATGTTAGAACTGCTGTTAGAATATTAGTTTATCAGATGTTTCTTTTCAAAATCACCAACCAGCAAAATGTTCAACAATAAAAAGCCCTTAAATTCTCAAGAGCAATGAATACCTCCAGAGGAAATGCAATCCCAAAGTCTGTCAATTTCAGTTTAATATGAGCCTTGTCCAACAAAATATTGGCACCTGACAAAAGGATATGAAGTTTGATAAAGCTTTGAACCCAGGAAAGATGTCAGCTGAATATAAATTACAAAAACACAAGAAATAATATATWTTTTTGTATCAGGAGTGGATCCAGGATCTTCTYCAGAGATGGGTAGAGTGGTTCGCATGATAAAGAGGGTAAGGGGGAGGAGGACACCGCACAAAAATGGTGACAAACATAGCACAAAATAGTAGGATAAATTAAGTGCACAAGGTCCAAGAGSGTRGCAACTAGCTGGATCCACAAACTGTTGGTTTCTATCCCTACTGCAACAACATGGAAAGGCTTGAAATGGCTTTATGTAGGCTAGTCACAAAAATAGTACAACAATATCTTATGCTATTAAACATTTGCAGTTAAAGTTAGTTATAAATATTCAAATACAGACCTTTGATATCACGATGAATTACTTTGTTTTCRTGGAGATATTCAATTCCCTTTAAAAGTTGCCAGGTATATTTACGTACAGTTTCTTCTGGTATGTTTCCCTCATTTAATACCTTATCAGAAATAGATCCCTAAAAATACACGTCAATAAATCATCTAAATTTACAAAAACCTTTAAACGTTTTATAACGAAAATCATAGACTTCAGCCATAGGTTTAATATTATGAAATTATTTAGTCTCTTGCACAGTCTTAGCACCCTGTTTTGTTGAAAGTGTGGTTATAAAATATAAAAGGAAGATGTCATGAGAAAACCTAGAATATAATAGCAATGACATGGCTTAATCAACATTTTTGCTGTTTTCTCAAATATTAGATAAATTTGCAAATTGATTAACCTGCTAACTTAAATATAATCACTTGTAAAAAGTCAGACATATGAATCATTAAATAAATTAATAAATTACCCATGATGCACCCAATTATTGGGGGCATTATGGGTAATTTACGTTGATGATTAGTTTTTTTTTAATTTTCTTCATATGACATACATACCCCTGGCATATACTCTATGAACAGCGCAAATGTGTCCTTTAGTGTTTCTGATTTGTAGTATTTTACGATGTATGGGTTACTGAGAGCCTTCAACATGTTGATTTCCCTTTCCAAAGCTTTTACATTCTGTGGTAAAAAAYRTGAATATTAGACCAGATGTGTTGTCCCAGAAAATGTCTATGGACACCTTATCCACAAAGAATATTTTWTATTAACACCCCRCCCAAACCCCTGGGATTTCCTATTCTGGGGCAAATGATAGGTTACCTCTTGTGTTGACCTGTCATTCATTCCTAAGTCCACTGCCTTTAYTGCGAATAACTCTTTTGTTGCCTTTTCCAGAACACAATAAACCTAGAGAAGCRGTAACTCATATCATTTGATATTTTCCACACCTTAAACAGTGAGTAGTGTTTCCATCAATAAAATTTACCTTAGCAAATCCCCCTGACCCAATTTGCTCAACAATGGTATAACGTGTTTCATCAAAAAMGCTGCCTGGTTTTTTGAGATCTTCTTCTTGAACTTCTTCACTCACTTGTACAGGGTTACTTTCTTGCTAAATGTTGGAAATCAGAAAGAAACAATATACAAAACAGCCAGTTAAAAACGATTGATTCTTAAAGGTTAACAATGCTAACCTTGGCTATTTTACGGTAAGCAATAAAAATTAACAACATTATCAATAGTTTCAATTTTTATTAATATTTTAMTAATAATAGTATCATTTAACTGCAAGTTATGCAAGGTCTATCAACCTACATTCTGTTCTTCTGCTCTGTCAGGTAAAACAACATCTTGAGYGTGAGCGACTGCATGCTCTATTGGTTGGGTTTGTCTAGGATTGAGTCTAGGAGCCCGACCACCATCAGGCAAATTAYGTCCAAGATCAGCCATTTGGGGAAATGTACTTGTAATATACTCTAAAGAAAATTAAACCACAATAGGTTAAAGCATCTCCATATTAAAGTTATAGCCTGCACAGTTTGGRGATTGGGGATGGCCGAGTGGAGAATGGGGAGGAGAAAGAGGAAGKGGCTGCAAGATATGACTGAAAAGTTGACTTTAATACCTTGTACTTGCTCAGCTAGATCTGTCCGTCCTGCGTTTTTTAATGCCTCTATCAAAAACCCAACTGTGGGGTTCCTACTTCTTTGCCTCCATGAAGACAACATTTCAATGCTTCTTTCCTCTGTTCTTCTGTAAGTGTCTTCTATATTTCGTAAAATATGATCTTCCAGACCAAGATAACGTCCAACAAACTTCCAATTTGTACTGATTTTCTCAGCAAGTTTTATTTTAACGATCATTGTGGCAGTAACTTTTTCTTGTGAAGCTCTTTCTGTCAATGGCACTTATCATAGAGAATACGATTTGGATTAAATTTATCAATCTAAGGTATATATTATAAACACAAAAAATCAAATTCTCTAAGTTTCAAAATGAGATGACATTTGCATCTGCAAGCTCCTTTTTATAAATTTATCGACATTTAAATTGATAGTATTTTTCCCCCTAGGTTTTCACAAGCAGCAAGTACTGTAGTGGTTGGTTGACATAATATGCTATAACTATGAGAAAATGTCAAAAAAATTACTCTGATCATTTTGATTGTTACTTGGAAAACAGCTGTGCCTACTTTTGCATCAAAGYGAGGCAAACACAACAACCTTACAATAACATGTGTACACTTGTTGATAACTGATTTAATAACAGTTTACTGTAAGAGATTTCTATCATTGCATGCTGACTACTGCATAAGCATAATATGTACTTACATGGCTCTCTCCAAACAAATGGTATCTCCTCTACAAGAAAACATAAACAACAATTAGCGGCTATGTATTGTTATATAGAATCCTATTTATCCTATAGAATTATGATTTACACCAAAATACTAATCTAATATCCAAATATCACCATAAAACTTACATACAATTTATAGACATGGCTGCCTCCCATCCCTCGGGGCCCCCAAAGCATAATGGTGCACAATGGCCCTTTAATGATCATCTACAAATAACCTCCTAATCACTGTGAAGGGATTCGTATATGTCATGACCAGGTTTTCCCTATCCAGCTATCCCACCCAACAACAGTCAAGAATTGTCACTAAGTAGTTCACATATCTCTTCATACAAAAATATTAAGCTTAAGTTAGAGTTATTATCAATTTATGATTTTATATGCATACTAGAATAAAAAAAACCCTAACTATTGCTATTCCCTGTGCTGTTAAAATATTACTTGTTTGCAATGCTTCCTGAAGTGAAAGTTCCAGACTGCAATAAAATCGTCTTGTGGACATGAAAAAGCAAGGGACTGAGGACTAACCTTCTGTTCCCATAAGCTTGTTCTTGAGATCATTTCTATGGATTCCATCCAAAAGATTGGCTAATAAATCTGTATTATTTTCTGACAGTTTATTCTGCCTTTCCATTTCCAAGAAGAGTTCATGAGGTTGCGTGATGAATTCAGCCCTTCCAGCGGGAATGAAGTCTTGACAAGCGAATTTGATTTGAGTTAATTCAGCTCGTGTTAAATTCTGCCCAATTTCGAGCAGTAAACTTCGAAAACTATTCATTACGAAAGGGGAACGCGTGATTTCAGATTACTTTTAACACTATTCTAGTGTGCACCACAAGGTAGACATTTCTTCTTCCTTTATGGACGGATTCGGGGAATTTGGCATAAGAATGACGTCACAACAGTCCGCTGTACACTTCCGCTTGGCATGAAGGCTCAAAACCAGGCTCAAAACAAAACAGTAGAAATGAAAGAAAGTTATATTGCTTAGAAGGAGGCCATTCCGGGAGAAACTTTCATTTCTATATGGTGTTGATCATAGTGCCATGCGGTCCTCATATTCATATYTTTACATTATTCTATTACCCCAACTAATATCTATTTAGCTCAGCTGGTAGATGATAGTACAAATCCGAAGGTCGTGGATCGAATCCCAGCAAGGTCGGAAATTAATTTTTCCGAATTTATTCCTTAAGGATGTTTCTCCCCCGGAATTGCCTCCTTCTAAGCACTATTACTTTCTTYCATTTCTATATCGTGTTGATCCTCATATCCATATCAAAACAAAACAAGRATAGACGCTCTTAGAGCGCCTACTCGCGTTATGGCTACCACACGAGTGTACTTATAMTCTGTATGACTGACAATCTTCACTTGACTATCTTTGTGTATATACAACAGTGGCGGATTTAGGGGAGGGGCTGGTGCAACCCCTTTTTGGAAAAATTAAATTATTGTACACGTTTATTTGAACAAATAATTCTTCTAAAATAAAAAATAACAAGTGAATTAACTAGTTTTCTAAAATTTCTATTTGATACATTCTCCAAACTAATCCCTCATGAAATATGCAAATTTCCCGCCAAAAATTCGCGCAATTTTAGTGCCCCTCCCCCTTAAAAAATCCTGGATCCGCCCTGTTCAACTGCTTGTTTAGTAAAGCTACAGTAATACGAGCAACCATCAATGTTGCGAGACACAAGTTGGACGAATTTTTGTTGCTCGTATTACCTAGCTTAACTTTGTATTTGATTGCAGCTTGAGGGATGTGTGCTATGATTGCGGGTGACTATCATCTTAACGCATTTATCAAATAAATCTACAGTCGGATAGAGCACAAGAAGAGACACACAAAGCATGATCTTTAATTTAAGGTCTTTTATTAGTAATAATTTTGATACGTTCCTTCGTATCTTACGATGGACCGGAATTGTTGTGTTTCCTGGAATACTATTTTCCGTATGCAAAGAAATTACGRTGACCTAGTTCATTTTATCGTCCTAAAATTTATTTCGATCCAAACTAATTAAAAATATCTACAACAACTATAATAAAATTTCTGATTGCTTAATCCTTAATCCTCATTTTTTTATCATTTACATATTATTGATTGAAGGGTAGTATATAASTTRATGAAGCRAGGCAAATTCCCGCCAAAATCTCTCGACGTTTTTATGCCCAGCAAACACCCCGACTCACCAAAAAGTGGAAGCAGGCCGACAGCTGTTTGGGGACAAAGCTACAGACTTCATCATGAATGACGTCTATGTTAACGATGCCTACACAAGTTTGCGAGCAATAAAAAGTACACGTCAGTTTCCTTATGGTCACGTTCAACATCTCTAATAACATTATCTATCCCAAGAATAGAACTTACAGCTGCAGTCACATCTATAAACGTGACAAACATGCAGAAGAATAAACTACACTATGACAACTTATATACCGTTTCTGATAGCACAATAAAATAACGAAAATGTTTCTTCACATAAAGAAAAAATTTCACAAGGTGCCATCATTCCTTTCTTACTAATGAATTTTTTAAAAATCTTAAAGTCGTGCATGTGAAAATAAATATCTAAATGACATAAAACTCAGTGTCTTTGGATAATTTTGAAGCTTAACAGATACTACTTACTTACGTGCTAACTTACTAGATTGGAGAAATTTCAACAAGAAAGCCAGTTTTTTAAAACCGTTATTATAAATTTGCGAGTGCTCTTTGCCTATAGTACAATGATAATGTAATTCAAAAATACTAATATTAATATTGATATTAACAAAACATTAATACAGCTACCGTATTTGTTTCTTCGCATCAGTGCTGCGTGTTGCAAAGATGCATTGTCTAAAGTCACACACAGGAAGAGTTGGTAGCCTGCTGAATATTTGTAAATTCAACGCAGTTCATATTAGGTTGGGTGCCCTCTGGATCTTCAACGTTCAKACCAACCACTTTCCCAGCAAAACTTCACTTCTGTGCGTCGCTTAATAGTCTTTCTTTCCATTCTTCAAATTTCATCTCGACTACTTTATCATCATCTATTACATAGGTCTCGGGTTGTGCTAGAAAGACTCCACCGGGACATTGTGCTATTGAAATCACTATAACAAACAGTCCAGGAATCTCTTCCATAGACTCCCCCACTACACTGACAGGAATAAACGAGATATTCCAGTGCTTTCCAAGTTCAGGCTTGCCATGCTCTTCCGGCCATACCATATTCTCGATTGCAGAGTCTACTGTCTTGACGATTGTCTGTTTCTCTTTATCATCAACATTTTGCCCACATACTTTGTGCGTTTCATCATCAATACCAATGTACACATGTCCACCTTTGTGGTTTGCAAACGCAGATATGTAGCGAGTGATCCCGTTGCTAATGATGCGATTTGCCAGTGTTTTGTTCTTATTTGGATCGGATTTCAGTTTCTTAAATTGCACGGTATCCGATTCCCTCAAATCACACAACAMGTTGTCTTTCTGAAACACTTTGACAAAGTTTTGTAGATTTGATTTGATTAATAACCCGGATTTTAAAAGACGGGCAATGTTCACCAATGGCTCAAGAGGAAGTACTTTCTTCACGACAAAATTAGTAGGCAAATACAAACTGTAATTAACTGTAAACAGTTGATCACTTGATTTTATGGTGAAGRTGATTTCCTTCTCGAGGACTGTAATTTGGCAAAGCTGACGTAGATTTGTCAATCCAATAACTTCAATCAAACTTTGCTCTATTGACCGAACAAGTTTGTCTAGAAGGTTTGGAGTTAACGTTTCGGCGSAGGACAGTTTGAAATTCCCACCTTGCTGACTGTTCAAAAGAGCACATACTGCATWACAAGTCTCTCCGATTATCTCTTTGTTTGTTTTTTTGTTTTCAACCTCATCTGGAGAAATTTGCTTAACAATTTGAGTTTGAAGGTTTTCACTTGGTAAGATAGCAGGTGCCATTGTATAACCTAAAACCAAGAAAGAGAACATCTTAGTATTTTGTTTGTGTGTGCATGCTCAGACGACATAGTTGATTTTTTTCAGTTTTGTTTAGTTTGTTTTGTTGCTTTGGCTTTAGGGAATCAAAATAAATATGAGAAAGGGTAATTCTAGCCTCTGATAGCCAGTTTAAGATGTTGACCTGAACTTCTTAAGCGATTTGGTAGTCCAAGGTCAAATCGGTTGTTGGACATCCTCTTAAAGACACTTTAAAATCACTTAAAAGACCGTCTAAAGGCAAATCCTTGGACCTGCCACAGTTTGCCTTTGCCACAGGTTTGGAGGTTTTGGCTATTGAGAAGGAACACCAGCTGGCAGTATTTTCAGTTTGAGAATGGACAGAGTTAGTTAAGGTCTCCTCTACAAACTTTGATCTGGAACCCTACACCTTGGCCTAAGGTTAGCCCTAACTGGGAGGGGAGGAAGCATGATCAGCAACTGTGGGTCGATTTTTCCTCTTTTTAGAAGACAATTTTCTTCAATTTAGTAAAAATTTCAAAAACACTCTAAAAAATTAACTTATTGCATACTCTAAATAAACATTAAAGCACAAAAAGTCAAAGAATTGTCTCCRTATTAAAGATTTATGACTGAAAACACATATTCAACTTAGAGAATGTACAAAGTTTYAATACCTTGTAATTGCTCCGCCAGATCTGCTACGTCCTTTCCTGCATTCTTTGATGCAGCAATATCTTGAGTAGCTCTTTCTGCCATAACTACGTGTTAAAAGTGCATTATTAATATTAAAATGAGTAAGATCTGAAAAATTTCAWTGCTCTAACATTTAAGGACCAGAAATTACACTGGAGTTTTAAAATTTGAGTGAGAATCACACTTGAAGCCTTATAATTTCCAGCTCTGTTTTAACATAACATGTGGAAAAAAAAAACACAGTTGAACATCAAAAGTTAATACCTTGTACTTCCTCAGCTAGATCTGTCCGTTCTGCATTCTTTAAGGCGGCAATCAAATCCCATACTATGGGGCAAGTTTTGCTTTGTCTCCATGAAGACAGCATCTCACTGCTTTTGTCCTTTGTTGTTCTGTAATCCTCCTGTATGTTTCGTAAAATATGATCTTCCAGACCAAGGTAATGTCCAACAAACCTCCAATCTATACTGATTTTCTCTGGAAGCTTCATTTCATTTATTATTGTGGTAATAATTCGTTCTTGTGAAGCTCGATCTGTCAATGGCACTTATCATAGGGAATGAATATTGAGAATGAGATAACAAATATATTGAGAATGAAAGATGGGACAAAGTCAATACCTTGTACTTGCTCAGCTTGATCTGTCTGTCTTGCATTCTTTGATGCGGCAATGTCTTTTTCTTGTGAAGCTCTTTCTGCCAATGGCAGTTATCATAGGAAGTTAATATATTAAGAATGAGATTTGGATTATCAATTTAATTAAAAGCCTGGTATATATTGCAAACACAGATAAATATAATTTCTTTGAGTGTCTATTTGATATAATTTCAACATGGTTTTCAGAATGCCAGCCAACATCTGCAAGATCCTTTTTTAGATGAATATATCAAAATAGGAAACATGTTTAACCCTAGGTAACTGGGAGGGAGGAAGCAGTCAGCTACTGTTTTTCCTTGTTTTCTCTTTTCAGAATGAAATGGCGCAATTAGCAAACAATAGTATTTAGACTGAAAATAAGTGATTGAAGATGATTTGTTTTTTAAATTTAATGAAAATGAAAATCACTGCCTAAAACAATTAACTTAGACAACATACAAAGTTGCATGAAATACCTTGCACTTGCTCAGCTAGATCTGTCCGTCCTGCATTCTTTAAGGCGGCAATCAAAACACYTACTGTGGGGCTACTACTTATTTGTCTCCATTTAGACAGCATCTCACTGCTTTTGTCCTTTGTTCTTTTGTAAGTGTCCTCTATATTTCGTATAGTATGATTTTCCAGACCAAGATAACATCCAACACTCTTCCAATCAGTACTGATTTTCTCTGCAAGCTTCACTTCATTTATTATTGTTGYAGTAACTTTTTCTTGTGRAGCTGTCAAACACGATTATGTTACATTCATATAGTTGCAGGATCCCATGTATGTGACAATACATTTTTAAAATGATCATCTGCAATYAACCTCCTAATCGCTGTGCTTGGTCCATATGTCATGACCAGGTATTTTCATGACCAGCCATCCCACCCAAAAAAACAGTCAAATTTTAATTATTGCACTTACTATACTGTAGTGCAGTCATTAATATAGCTTAATACAAAAATCTTAAGTTAAAGTTGTTATCAATTCATGAGTTTATATGCAAATTACTAGAATAAAAACCCCAGCTAACTATTGCTATTCAAATATTACTTGTTTGCAATTGAAGCATGTGCTTCCTGAAGTGAATTAAGTTCCAGACTGCAATAAAATCGTCCTGTGAACAAGAGCTAGGACTGAGGACTAACCTTCTGTTCCCATAAGCTTGTTCTTGAGATCATTTCTATGGATTCCATCCAAAAGATTGGCTAATAATTCTCTATTATTTTCTGATAGTTTGTTCTGCCTCTCCATTTCCGAGAAGAGTTCATGAGGTTGCGTGATGAATTCAGCCCTTCCGGCGGGAATAAATTTACAAGCGGATTTGATTTGGCTAAATTCAGCTTGTCTTAAATTCTGCCCAATTTCGAGCAGTAAACTTTGAAAACTATTCATTATGAAAAGGAAGCGTGAGTTCAGATTTACTTTTGGACGCCTATTCTCGTCTGCAGCACAGCGGGAATTCTTCTMTTCGGGGAATTGGACATAATGATGACGTCACAGCAGTCCGCTGTACACTTCCGCTTTGAAGGCTCAAAAATAGTCTCAAGAAATAGACGCCCCTAAAAGCGCACCTACTCGCGTGATGGAGAAACGCGTTTTCAACTGCTTGTTTAGTAGCTTTGTATTTGATTGCAAATGGAAAGATGTTGCAACTTGTGTCTTATGGTTGCRAGAGACTACTATCTTGTACGTATTCCTCAAATAAATCAATATAATCGGATAATACACACTGGAAAATGACGAGATCGACGACGACGACGATCGCGCGCCTCGCGGGATACAAACTATAGTCTGTGACAGACTAGTTTGTATCCCGCGAGGCGCGCGATVGTGACGYAATACCACAGGTAACCCACAGCGCACGCCGATTCGATAACATAATATAAAAGCGTGCGCATTCATTCTTTTCTTTCTCTCAAGCTATAGTTGGGTAGCCTATGTCTATCTATGTATTTTGTCGCGTTTGGACCACCGGAAGTTAAGAATTTAATAATTAACTATTGGGTTGGCTGTGTTATTACATGACCGGAAGCTCAAGCGTATTGATGTACGAATATCGTTAGTAAATGTTATATGCTACTTGGCTTTTATATGACAAAAAAACTATTCGTTTACAAATGTGGTATCTGTGATCTCATCGGAATGCATCTGTCTAGGCATTAGAAGTACGCGCATGTGCAGATCGCATAGAGTTTCGAGTTGTATGCTTACAAAACTGAATCAATATCCTTTCTAGTGTTAGACAGTCTTGTGGGGGCAAAGATTTCAAATTAGAACAAGAAGAAACTTCGTTTATCAATAACAGAAAGGCGAATTTAATGATTTTATAGGCATCTTTTTTCGTGTAAAGTTTTTATTTTCTTTGCCTGAGAGGTCAACGTTTTAGATATCATATATCACTTAGCGAGACATTTGTCTGAGTAGTTGATTTTATCAGTCAAAGCAAGCCACGTTCTTATCGCCGCTTTAATTACATGACCTTTTAGGTCAAGTTTATTTAAAGTCTCAATAAATTTTGCATATTTTGAACTAGACGCTCTTATTAGACCGTGAGTTCGGCTGTTTTGGAAAAAAAGTTAAGAAATATTTTTATCCATGTAATATCCTGTCTTTCTCAATTTTCACAAGCAGCTAGTCCGACTTCRCGCTCCCAGAGCGTCTAGTTAGTAATAATCTTGCGACGTTCAGTTCCTTCGTACTTTTACAAGGGGAAAGGGATGGAGGGGATGGGTATTAGGTATGACATAGACTCTGTAAAGGTCTCTGTGTTACTCCTGACTTTTATATCATAGCACATTCAAAATATCAAAAAGCCGATTGCATTTTGTATTTATTTCATTGTCCTAAAATTTCGATCCAAACTAAAAATATCTACAACTATAATAAAATTTCTGATTGCTTAAACTATATTCTCTTCTTCTTCATCAATTTCGTAGATAGTTGGAGGGATCTGATTCTGCTTTAGTTCATTTATCAGGTCCTTCATGGGCGAAAAAGATCGCATATTGTTCAAGAAGTTCCATGGCATCTTGTCAAAGTATGAGAATGTAAAAGCTCTTGATAACCTTTGACTAAGACTCATATAAATCCCTTCTTTTATCAGTCCTGTTATGAATAATTGTCTCTGCAGCCGTTTTTGTCTCAGCAAAGCTATAGCTTCTTCTCGCATGCGTCTTTGCTCTTCCTGTATTCTTCGTTGTTCTTCTTGGATTTTTCTTTCTGCTTCCAAACGTTTTCTTAATTCTTCTTCCTCTCGTCGCATCTTCTCTTGAAAAGCTAATCGTTCAGATTCTTCCATTGCCAGTAATCTTTCTTCCTCGGCTCTTCGATTTGCTTCCTCGATTTCAGCTTCCAGCTTTTCCTGTTCTTTTCTGATCTCTTCTTCAAGTTTTCGTTGTGCAATTAATTCTTGCTTCTTGCGCTCGAATTCCTCGCGTTGTCTTCTTTCTCTTTCTATTCGAGCTCGTTCCTCTCTCTCTTTTCTTTGTTCTTCTTCCTCTTTCCTTCGCTTTTCTTCTTCTCTTTCTTCGCGTTTTTTCCTGAAAAAGTCATATTTGTTATTTTTAACACAATGTGCGCATCTGAGTTCTAAATTGGGTTTGTTCTTATATTATAGCTTCATGATAGCACCCGTAAAAGGCGGCTCTATATCAGAGACTAGTAATTTAGAGATATCTTGAACGAGATGAATCATCTCATCATGCATTCTTGAGAGAAAGTTCTTTATTTTCTGAATGCTTTCCGGCCGTCTGTCAGTTTTTTTGCACTATTCTATGTTAACTGCAAGTTCTACGAATTTATTAATATTAATATGGCTTCGAATTATATAATTCCACAAACCTCATCTCCATTTCTCTTTTCTTCATTTCCTCTTCAGCTTCTTGTCGCACTCTCTCTAATCGTGCTTCTTCTTCAATTTGTCTTCGTTTAGCTTCCTCCTTTTCACGCCTTTTCCTCTCAACTTCTTGTCGACGCCTTTCTGCTGCAGCTGCTCTCTCCTCCGCTCTTTTCGCAGCACGCAATTCCTTTTCTTTCTTTCTTGCCAACTCTGCTTCTAATCGTTCCTGCTCTTTGCGCTGTTCTTCTAGATCAACTTGAGGTTCTTCAGGTTCAGGTGGCTTGGGTACTAGTCGTGGCTGTTCAATAACAGGGACAGTGGTGCTGTGAATACTCTGAACACTTGGTGACTTGGTAGACATTTGCTGTTGCTCGGAATCCGATCGTTGAGATGAATCTGCTATCGATCTAGTATCGCTTTCTAAGGTAGGCGTTTCGGAGAGCTCATTCATATGTTTGCTTGTTTCAGAAGGTGCTCGAGTGCTCGTCTCGGGTGATACATCAGTTACAAGTTCAGTGGATTCAATGAGATTACTATCAACAGGTTTGGGTTCTGGTTCTGGTTCGACTAGGATTTCCTTTTTGTTCGATTTCTTGGTGGATTTTTCTGCTTTTGGTTTCTCGGCCACTGGCTTTTTCGGCACTTTACCAACTKTCTTCGGCCCTTTCTTTGCTGCTTTCTTGGCACCTGTCCCAGCTTTAGGTTCCTTTTCCTTGGTTTTAGTTGCTTCTTGCAGTTTAGTTTCAAGTCCCGGAGGTGGTTTTTCTTCGACTGGTCTCTTTACTTGGAATGGTGGAGATTTTACAGATTTCTTTTTTGTTGGAGCTTCTTTTGGTGGTGAACTAGTTTTTGAGACAATTGTATGCGTTTGTCCTGATGTGATATTATTTTCAAGATCAGTGACCACTGCTTGAAGAGCAGCACGGAAATCTTCGTCTCCCGATTCATCATCATGCGCAGTTTGTGCTCGGTCCTGCAAAAACCCAAGCTCCTCATCGGAGACAAAATTTAAGATGTCCATTTGTAGGTCTGAGTTTGAGAGCCTTTCCGTCAAAATCGATCTGGCTGGACCTGCCGAGCCACTAGCTCTAGAGGACCTCGTGTCTCCATCTTTTACTAGGAAAAAGAAAATAAATTCATAAGTGAAAAACAAACAAATAACAAATAACAAAACGCAAAAACAACAACAACAAATAACGGTAATAACATATATTGCTCAAATACACAAGCGTAAACTGGGCGTCTTACATGGTTCAAAGAATGTKCCCCCATGGGTGACTCCGCTTCCTTGTTTGCTTGGAGGTGCTCCATATGGTATTCGTATCGGTGGAAGGCTTTTGAGCGTTTCAACACCAGGCAATTCACCTATAGCACAAACTCGATAAGAATGCGGCAAAATTGTGCTTTCTGTAGTAACTAGAAGTTAACTAGAYGGCTATTCCATTCTAGCACTGCGTTATACAATTGATGGGCGTACCTCCTGATATTAGAAGTGCTTGCCTAAGCGCGGCGAGAGAGGGTCCAGCTGACTGACTGACTTTCCTTTTACGAGTCAAGGGCGCAATTCTTGTTCCACTTGCATTTTGGTTGGTCCCTTGTTGTCTGTTAAAAGCTGCTGAACTTGTGCGTGCATCTACGAAAAAAACAATGTATATGATTTCAATGTTGGTTGTCATGGGTTAGAGAAGATGTTATGATATCACAACGCATGAAGACTGCACAACTGAAGAACACTGTTCAGGTTGCAATGATRTATATTCGTTGAATCTCGTTGTGGGCAAAGTTTATCTTAATAAAGTTTGCCAGTGTAGTATGCAATGRTTYTGAACTTATCTCGCGGATCTACCTTTACTAGGTGGATCCAAAAGAGTCGAGAGCCTGTCAGCCCACATTGCCAATGCTGTGCGAGCATCTTCGATGAAATTTGATCCCGACTGAGGGCGATTCAAGACACGAGATGCCACAGCTCTAGCCTCGCTATGAAGCTGCTCAAATGTAATTGGTGGAGGAGGTTCTGGTGAGGGACCGTGGTCRTCAATGATTGACAGTGAGGTTGTACTTCTTGAATGATATGTTCCTGCAGTTAATCAAGGATATGAATGGTTAGTATCACATAAAAATGCTCATTTAGGTATAAATCTCAGTTCTATACTCGTGGTGCTCATGTGTACATTTCCTTTAGCTTAATGATTGAAACACAATGGCTTAACATGTTGCTTTACCATCAACACTTTTTTCAAGTTCTTTCTCTTCTTCCTCTTCTCCATCTTCATATTTTCCTTCTTCTCTACCTTGAACAACTTCATCATTGACGACTGACTCCTTGGATTTTCTTCCATCATGATCAGACCTGGCATCATCATCCATGACCTCGTCACGGAGAATTCCACCTTCTCTTTCCCTGTCTTCTTCATGAGCTATTCCACTTTCTTTTCGATGGACKTTGTGAGCTTYCACCTCACTTTCACCTATGTGTTCATGATTCAATTCTACACTGTCCTCTGATCCTTTATCAACCTCTTTGTTCTCAAGGTCRTCATGGTGAGCCTGTTCAAGGGTCTTAACTAGATTCAGGACTTTTTCCTCTTCTTCATCTTGGCTTTCATCTACGACAAATAATGAGTAWAATAAAACACAATGGAACTTGATAATACAACTATATCACAAAAATGCCGTATCCGAAGGTATAGTGTACATTCAGACTAGTTTTGCGAGKGGATTCATATTTTWGTCTCGCAAAAGGAGAAAGAATGGAAAAGTACAAAACGGACATTGCCAAGCAARTRGCATRGTTATAAAGGGCAAAAGGTAATACGRCCTGGGGATATGCAACTTCTGCGCAAATACACATGTAACGTCACCTGGATCCATTCCGGCACATGACTAGTTCTGTATGAAGTAAGGTTTGTCAACCTACCTGCAGCATTATCGATTACGTGACCTAGCGCTTCACCCCAGTGACTACTCTCATCCGACAAATCAATTTCCACATTTCCAGGATCWACGATATCACGTGATTCCTCAGCATGAAGGACTGCCGAMGAATGGTGACTGGCAGGWGGACCAGAACCAGCTTCACTAGCACGTCGCGTGCTTGGCTTTGATAAATCATTTGAATCCACAACGTTTGAGSCAAAAGAGTGGAAACTACCTCCACTTAGTCGCTGACTGCTTCTCTTTGATGTCATCATTGAATTTGCAGCGTTAGAACTCTCGTCYTCAATCACAACCTCGCTGGGGGTTATGGGTCGTGCCCCAGCAGACTGTATAGGCGGTAAGCGAGGAATAGACGTTAAAGACRACGATTTTAAGCTCCCTTTGCTGTTCTTTCTTTTTTGTGTACTTGTTAGAGACGAGCCGGAATCATGTGTGTCATCTTTGGTAAAAGTGGTCGGCCATGTTTGCAAGTCTGAGTCCACCGTCTCCAAAGTTTTCTGCACAAGCATTTGGGAAAGGAGTTGTTCTTTCTGCTTGGAGTCCAATGCGGCGTAGCGATTGTCCTTTTTAGGTTTTATTGGCTCAACCTCTGTGAGTCGTTCGTTTAGCGATTCAACTGGACTGATTGCGCGGGATGATGGAGCGTACTCCTCACTGTTAAGAGAGATCATAGACGCTGCTCCTGTAGACATACCATTGGGATAGAAGTTGAAGCTRCTTCCTAGCATAGAGCTTGATGGAGATATTGGAGGAAGAGACATTGTACTATATGGCTGAGGTTTACTGGGAAACAGTTCACATACGGACCCATCGTCATGTAGAGACGKTACATATGGGTTGTAAGACTGCAAAGCTGGGTCCTTAAATGATCCGGATGTCAGAAGTTTATTCCAGGAATCTTCTTGAAGGGAACGTCCTAAGGTTGCTATGTAACGCTTAGGGGAATATCCTGGACGCACATGGTTGCCAAAGCAACCACTACTGAGTCTTTTTTGCAGTAAAGCAAGGAACAGTGGATCACCCTATGAATAAAAAACGRCATTTATAACAAATAATACAAAAACAGACAGAACAAAATCGGAAAATGATTTAATGTTAGCAAAACTCATTCTCCAGCAGGGGATGCTAAAAAAACATTATATACTGTCCCATTACAAAGTAATTTCTTTTCATGTGAATTTTATCAACTCACCCCATTCCTTTTGTAATTGAGTATAAAATCCCTCAAATCAGTTAGAGTTTTTAATTTCAAAGCTGACTGCTGCTTAAGTTTCCTTCGCCTTTTCTTAGCTTTGGGTGAACCAGGGAGAAAGTAGTTTTCAGAATATAACAGCAGAGCTCCTTTTCTAGTTGTGTATGTTTTGTGTAGAGGCTGTGGTTGGACAACTGGCAGCTTCAATGGTTTGGCTTGAAAGGTCTTTCTGTAATTGATACTGGACTGGTCTGAATTATCATAATTATTGGCTATAGGTGGCAAACGAAGATCATCAACAGAAAATATATCCTGAAAAAATATAAGTAGTCTTATTATTATGCTATTTAATTAGAAGTATGTTTTCACAAGAAGCCATGGATGACCATCTTTGAAAAAACTTAGTGGAGCGCCTGTGACCAACAGTTATGATAGTTGCAATGGAGAGCAGACGTTAAGGGAGAGGTGGTAGAAAGTCAGAAAGCCAGAAGGAAGGGTTGGAATCCCACCCAGACTGGGTCTTCGGATTGAATTGTCTTCTTGAATAGYAATGGTAAAGTTGCCAAAGAGATTACTCAAGTGTAGGACTCCACAGAAGAAAATGATTCTTCTGGCTGGATTTCCAGTGTTTATTCTGACATGACACAGGAATCCTGAGAGCGTACTTGCCTGGTGACAACCTCTCAGACTTTATCAGTCCCTCTCAATTAATTTCTTTATTCATCTGCATTTCTTATCTTATTCAATATTTTTTGTGAGTGATGTTTAAGTTGTTTTTAAGTAGGTTTGGTTGTTATCAGGATTTGAATCAGTGTAAGGTAAACCTTGCATCCATTCAAATAAAGTGATTTTTGTCATGTTATCACACATTAGTATCTATGGCTACATTGTACAAACATTGACAATTCAATTTAATAAGACAATTCAATTTAGTTGRAATACAGGAAAAACACTATGTAACAATCAAAATTTCCTTGTCTTTGGATGCTTGAATTTTCAATGCTTTTTTAAAAAATAAAAAAAATAAAAAACAGCTGTGGACGTTTTTTCATGTATATTTTTTTTGAGTCCATAAAGTTTGAAGCTCATTTGAATAATCTCGACCAGGTGCTAAAGATAAACATTTGCCGGGAGATCAATAATTTCACTACATTTTATTTTTCCCATTTCGTATATATTCCAATTCATATATTTTCTTTGGCGATTTTGCTGTGGAGAAAAAAAATCGTGTATAGAAAATAGATAACCTTTGCAATGCCAGACATTATTCGATCCAGAATGTCACATAAAAGAATCTATGTTATTTGAGAACTTATACATTAACAATTACACGCAGTAACCGTAAGATGTGGAAGTGTCATAACACAAAACAMCAAAACATATAGATTSTCGCCTACATATAGCTTTGAGAAATGCAAATTTTCTGACAGTTTTAAGGGTTAGTTTATCATTACTTCATCTCCGTTGCTACGTTCATGATTTTGGCGCAGTTATTGAGGTCACAAGCTTGAAGGTCAACATTGAACAAAAATAATAAAGCACACTTTTCAATGAGAGAAAGCAGGAGAAATRAAACTCTAAAATGCAATATAAAAAGGCTAACAGTACCAATTGTAGTAAAAATAGAAATCACAGAAGTTCTAATTGGTGATTAGAGTGGTGTGACAGCAGACAAAGGCAAGCAAAGACTGACCATTGAAGTCAAGCGTTCATGACACACAWTTTATACAACTCTTCGTGCCGTATCCATGTTCCTAACGAGAAATATTTTCAAAATAAGTAAATGATACTTACACTTTCGTTCTCAACCACGGCTTCTTTCTTCGCTATGCCGTCCCACGTCCCRTACCCTTGACTTAACCGTGAAAACAAATCGAACTTGTTCATTTTAGACAGTAGTTACCGTATCATCCAAAGACTTCCGATTATTCGTACAAAACAAATCAATTGCTGGTCGAGCAACTTATTTCTACACCGGACATCCATCTACTTGAGGAATAGAAGTAAGTTATACAGAAACATTCAAATGTACAATCAAGCGCTTGTGYCCATTCCTGTTGCCATGCGATGCCGGGATTAAGTATTAACATATTACATGCCATCTTTTCGTATGGATATGTCAACACAATACTCGGCTTAATTGTTTGCTAGCCAATCAGGAGCGAGAATTCATAYTGTTTACACAACAGACAAAAGGTGTAAGTGACAAAGTCCTTGATATCCGATGCTTTGGTAAAACTGTTGTAATACTTTGTAATACGTGATTATGTCGACACAGTTCGCAAAGATCATAATTAGTTATATTTAACCAGTCCAGACTCTGTTTACTAGATTCCGTTGACAATGGTTGCGTGACTCCTAAATTTTTTAAAATGCAATATCAGCATATACGAATTGTTGCTGATGAGGAAGCGATAAAATCATGAAAAAAGTTATCATATTTGGAAGAAGAAACAAAAACTAAAAAAGTGACGTTTTCGAGAATACGGCTGGACAAAAGAAAGGCTGCCACTGAGGCACCTACGTTGTACGCCCACGCGAATCCGGAMATTTTCGAAAACGGTCACAATAKTRGAATGGAAATACTTGAAAATGATACATGTGAACGCGAAAATAAAACCGATTCCGGATACAATAACTTCCGGCTACATGTTAGACTATATAAATCAGTTCTATATTGTTAAGAATAAATGATACGATGATTTAAGGCTTTATTCAGGTTATTAAACTC